CTGGATTTCATCTGTCAATAAGTAAACATTATTAATATGAACTAAACTACCTATGTAATATATATTAAGATTACCTTGTAATGTGATTAAACCCTCTGTACTTTCAGTAAATCTTAGCCATTTATTACAAAAAGTAGGTGATTCTAATGTAATAAATACAACATAGCCAAGAAAAGCACCAATTGTCTGACCAACACTATTACATGTTGAAGCATATCCTACATTTTCTCTGTAAATATTGATTAAAATTAATAATAAATTAGAAAAAAAAATAACATGTAAGTACGAACTTTCTTAACATTGTCAATGCCCAACCATCAACAGCAATATCTTGAGTTGCTGCTAAGAAGTTCAAACAAAAAAACATTAATGTCAAAAATGTAGTGTTTGGATCTTCGGTAAACACTAGCCAATCATTGATGTTCATTGCCAAAAATAACAGAAAAAAWCCTGAAATGTAAAACCAATTAAATTCCTAGATTATAATACTATATAGAGCAGGGGTGACCAAATTGCCCCTAGCACTTTATTAAAAAAAAAAAAAACAATATTTGTTTATTAATGATAAAATTATAAAAATTATAAAATTTAATCAAAAACATTTAGACTCTTGATAGGTATCATTGTATTTATATATGTGGCTCGTGAACGTATTTATGTTTGCCATTCCTGATATAGAGTGTACTTAAAGTGAGTTACAGATATTAAAATAATAAATTTATATTTTAGAAACATTCATTTATTGTATATATATATATAAATAATATATTAGACAGTTTAAAAATAATAATTAGATGAGATTTATTTAGTTTTATATTAGGTGCAGATGTGCATTAAAAAACCAAACAATTTTAAGCTATACATATATTATATTATAATAATCAAGCCTAATTAAATATTAAAAAAGAAAAGGAAATAATTACACATTTTTTCTAGTTGAATATTGTTAATTGTATTGTTTATGATGTTTCAGTTATAAAATTGTAGTAACTAATAAATAATTGACATTGCTATATATTTACAAAGGATAAGAAAGTTAACACCTAGTATTCACTAACCTAATATCTACCTTAATACCCAAACACACTAATAAAACTTTTTTTTTTTAATTTCAATACAAAATCATCACTTTTGTTCAGGATTTAAATTATTTATTATATTATGAATGACAAATAAACATTTATTTTTCGATAAATAAGAAAATATTTATAAGATAACCTTAATAGAATGATAAAGATTAAAAAAACAGAACTGTTTTAAAGTTTTTGAAAAATGACTCTTGCCTATGAAAAGGTTTATCTCCTGATTTACATTGAATACATGTATAATATATCTTTATTTGAAAAACCTTAGTTGAAGAAGTTATAGTTAACAAAATAATCAATTTTTTTTACTAACCAATTAAGTACTGTACAGGAACAAGCCAGGTTTTTCTTCTACCAAACTTTGGCCAAAATATAGAATCAACAATAGGTGCCCATAATAATTTTAAACTAAATGGCCATGTAGAAAAGCTAAACTGAGCCTAAAATTGTAATAAAATTAATTAACACAATTAAAATATTACATTATAAATGATTCAACCTGTTCTTTGTATGTTATATGTTTTTTCTGCATTGTTATTGGTATAGCTGCTGAAAGTCCGAGGGGTACACCTTGTAATGTGTATAAAAATAATAAAATTGCTATGTTTAGCATATCACCAGTTGTACAAGGCACAGCTTTAGATACATGCAAGCCATGTTTCTTTCGTTTTGGACTAGAATTTTCTAGTTTATCTTCAAAGACCATGGCTTTTCTTGGTTTGACTTTAGTCATTGTTTACGTCTATATAATTGATGAACAATGTAAAACTATAAGAAAAATCTATAATTAACTACACTAAAACAGAATTACAATACATTTTTGAATACTAATGAAATCAATAATAAATTCATTACTGATGAGTATCACAACAAATGATTTTTTTTTATAAAATTAATACTAACTCAAGTAGATAGGTCTAGCCGTATAGGTACATAGATAATGTCATCTAAATAAGTCTTATTAAAAATGACATTAATCTAAATTTTATTTTGCACATTGTTTTTATTTTACATTTACACAGTTACAAATTGTCAAATTGATAATTAGCACTCGCCGCTCATCAATATAGTCACCACTCACCGCAGCTTGTAAATTAAAAAATACTTTTATACCTACCTAAATAGTAAATACTAAATAGTAAATACATAGTGGGAAAAAATTAAATCCACGTACATGAAAATATATAATATACCGGTTAGCGCATGCGCTTAATGTAAATAAAAACAAAGATAGTACCTATTCGTGGTAACATCACAGACAACACTGTTAAAAATCGAAACATGATATCAATGTTATCATTTACACCGAAGAATGAAGATAAACGATAAACAATTTTGCATTAATTCTTAAATTTTTATTTTTTCAGTTTTTTTTTCGTTTTGATACACTGTTTTCTGTGGATGTTCGATGTTGCTTATTTTTATCGTAGTTTGTAATTCTTCATGTTCATACTAATTATTCTGTCATTGTGATTAGCTGTTAATAATATAATGATTCAGTTTTAATAATTTTCTGTTTTACACCTATTTACTTGTTTTTATAAATAATATTGAAGATCAAACAGAGTATAAAAATGTCTTGTTATATCCAACATTACAACGAATGTAACATTGCTATTTGTAAGGCTGATACAAATACTGATGGGATAACATATTATCACATCAAAGTGAATATTGGTGACGTTACATGGAGTGTACAAAAACGATACAAAGAATTTTTGGAACTGCACAAAAAATTAGTGAATGAACATACTGTGACCAAAGACATACTACCTGGAAAAAAAATAATTGGGAACAAGGATCCGAATTTCATTGAAAGACGTCGAGTTGGCTTGGAATTATATTTACAAACAGTTTTGTCATTTTTACAAAAGTCAATGCCTGATGAACTATTAGAGTTTTTAGAATTCCACAAGTACGATGTAATATTAATTGTTAAGAAACTAGCAGTAGAATTTTTTAAAAATGGGGATGATTACCTTTTGAATGATAATGGTTTTAATTTTAATGTTTTACTATTATATGCAATTAGTGAAAGATTAAAATTACCTTGTCCAGATAGTGAAAATAATGAGTATAATTTCAGCCATGTGTTAGATTTTTGTTCAAAGTTTAAATACTTAGCAATCAAAGGAGGAAATCATCATGTTGGTACAAGTAACATAATTTACAATAAATTAAGTTTTGAGTTATCATCTTTTAAGAATGTGAATAAATTTGAATGTTATAATATTKCATATAATATGATATACAATTTAATGACATTACGGAATACAGTACGTATAATTACAGTATACAATTCAAAGCTTAGAACTCCTGAAGATATTTTACTATGTGATAATGTTCATAAAGAATGGTCCCCTGACATGGATTCTAGTATGATTTGGAATAAAGTAAAAGTAGTTGATTTCAGTTGGAATGAAATATTAACTTTAAAAAGTCTCACAGTTTTAACTCCAAATGTTAAAACAGTAAATTTAAATGGAAATTTGTTGAATACTATTGAAGATTTATCTCCTCTAAGTTATCTTAGTCACTTATCACTATCAAGTAATAATATTACTGAAGTATCTGATCTTAATACAAAACTAGGAAATGTTATATGTTTAAATTTGTCTTCAAATAAAATATCTAATTTGGAAGCATTTTCAAAATTATTTTCACTGGAAATGTTGGATTTGGGCTCAAACTTGGTTGAAGATATAGATCAGTTACAACATCTGAGTGGATTACAAAATATGAATTATTTAGTGTTGTCTGGAAACCCTGTGTCTACTGTAGTTGATTATAGAATTAAGGTACTAGGTATACTTAAAAAAAATACTTCAGATTTTTGTTTAGACAATGAGAGACCCACTCAAAAAGAGCTAGATACTGTGGCAATAATGCATGCCATAAAAGTTGCCAAAGAAGGAAAAACATTGTTGGATAGATGATTTAGATTACACAAAAATTATTATAACTACCTATATTTATTTATTTTTATTTGTTAATCCATATAATCAATAATAATCACGAATGAAGATTAGATTTGTGTTTTGTGATAATAATAATATACCTATTGAATTATATTTTTATTTTGTTAATCATTTTTATGTTTTTTATTGTGTATTATGTTAAAATTTTGTAAAGGTAAAAAATATAAAATATCTTTGTTATGAGATTTTGTACTATTTAAAACAAAAACAAATTAATATGCATTATTTTATTTTATTTTATTTTTACTCATAACTGTGCATCCGCGGTGTTATTAAGTAGTTTTGAAAATTTTAATTCCATTCCCCACTTTATTTCTTTTGAAAAAAAGATAGGTGCTGTTTTTATATAAAATATAAAACGCCATTACAAACTACGACTTCAGCTTTCGAGTATTGACACTGATTTACAAAACTTGATGCCTGGAATAAAACACGCCCTTGGGTCGGCACTTTCATTAGGTATATAATAAAATTTAATTTTATAAGATAATTAAAAATGATCTTAACCAGGTTGAAGACTAAAGTGTTAGTTAAATTGTGCATAGACATATCAATAAAATAAATATTTCTTTATAGGTCTATCGTCAATGGAAATGTGATCTTTGATTAATGATCATAGATCATTGTGATCTAATTAGTAATTATCTAAATTTCAAAGAGTAAATATTTAATATAGTTCCAATAATAAAAATACATTATGAATATAATTTATATTATTAGAGCTAACATTTTTCAAGAATCGAGATTACGTCACTATCAGTTATCAGAGATTATTATTTGATAGCGTTAAACAGTGCGACCACTAAACGAACAAAATAATATTTATATGTATAACCCACTGAACTCTATACATGTATAGAGTCAGTGGTATAACCTAACCGTTTACAGGTTGGCAACAGAATTAATGTTGTCAAGTTCGGCATGGCATTGACTTTGTTATTGTTTTTATGAATTTCGGATAACGGTTTTGTTGTTCGCTCGATTTCGGGAATTCGGGATTGCATATTTCCAATTTGCTTTCAGCAGTGAGTCATTTCGTATTTTCCCTTCAGAGATACAGACTTATGGTTTACGTTTATAGCAGTCGGAACTCGGAAGTACGGTTCACTAAAGTTGACAAAATACGATTTACAATTAACATACGCGATTACGTTAATAGTGCCATCAGTTAATAGTTTAGTTATTACTACATTTTTGTCGGGTTTTACTTTCCCGTTAACCCTCAATTTTAAACACCTATTGTTTGAAAGTAAGTATATTATTAATTATAATGATGTTGTTAAAATAAATAATTTTGGAGACATATTTGACGATTAATATCCTTAAATTGTGAATCTTTGACTTATTTCTCGAAGAAAATAATCATGTTATCAAATGATATTGCGAGAATCTCACTAAGCACCAACATTAACAGTAGTTATATTGTTTTATAACAAACACAATAGTCAATACAAATAATGTGTATTGTAGGTATATATTTCAACTATTTCAAGACATGTGTGTTCTCTCCAGGTTAGATAAACCTTGTATTTTTTTACTGTAGTTTTCTGAAAAAATGTTTTTATTTTAGTAGACTTATTGTGAAATGTATGTTTTATCTAACACTATAAGAATACTATAGTCCGATTAATAAATTGTTCATTTTTATATGTCTAAATTTTAAAATAAAAAATCATTTTAACATATAGGAATATTTAAAGTGAACAATAATATTATAACATTGATAATATTGATTAGTTGGAAGATTTCTGAATTAACCGATGAATCTGTGGGTAGATTATTTAAACTAGTTACATTGCCTTTTTATTAATATTTCTGAAATTTCATTTTATGTTTTAATTTTAATCATACTAGGTTTCGTCAAAATATTACACTTATTAGTTCTCATGTTTCTATGGCCAATATTGTTTATTAACATTAAAGTATAATATAATATGTTTGCTCAGTGTCTGCGCATAATAAATTTTAGGTATTAAGTTTTTGTGTTTTCTTAAATTGATTTATGGCTGAGTTAACCAGAGCTTGTTTAGATTCTATTACACAATTTTATATATTTATATACATTCAAGTTTGTATTTTTGTTAGTATATTAATTTTTATTGATTTCTATCAAGTCATCCTTATCTAGGGAGCCAAAACCACAGTTTTATATTTTACCTCTTGGATTTATGTATAAGTCCTCTTTTGTTTCTTTTTGATAGAATATTTTATGACTTGGAAAAGTGTATTATTGGTGTCTTTCTTTAAGTATATTTTAGTCTACAATTAAGTGTCTTAACATTGAAATCAATTTATACTCCACCTATTGATGTTTATCTGTCACTGATATATTGTATAAATATAGGTATACCTTATAATATACCTAAATTATACCTTATAATAGTATGTTCTATTACATTGCTTTTACCTGACAATTTTTGGTAAATGAGTGCTCAATACACTCCCTATTTTTAGAGCGCCGACTGACGTACCATATCATTTGTAGGAGGCCATACGGTCGCGGGCTGTCGTAAATTAATTTGGATTTATACTATTAACTTTTCCGTGGCGCTACAATATTGATCTTGAAAATAAGCTGTAGCATAGTGGGAATAATTTCAATTCTCTTGATGTAATGAAAATAATTTTAACATTTTTTTTTGTATTTTTATTTTTTTTTCAAATTCAATAATATATATATATAAATTCAAATCTGTAATAACACTGAAAAATGTCCTTGGCATACTAATGATAAATATTATTGAGGCTGCCAGCGGCTGCATGGCAGTCAATGTGTTAAATTACCAAAAAAATCAACTGAGTCCTACTTAGGTGAAARTACAAGGGAGAACCGAGTGTATAATACTAAAAATTAATGTTCAATTACCTCATTTAAAGAAATGAATTTTTATTTCTTTGTCATTAATTAGGTCAAAGTTCTCTTTGACATTATAATTATGTTTAATATGTAATAATCTGTACTAATGTGAAGAATTATGATAATTCAAAAAAATAAAAATTGTGAAAACCTTAACCCTACCCTTGCTCAAAATTAAATGTTCATGTATTGAAATATTCAATTAATATACTGATTAGGAATAAGGAATCTAGAATGTTGGTACTTTATTTGAAAACAAAAAGTAAAAAGAATAAAAAATATTTTTTTAAACATTAGTTGTTAGAGTGTCTTTGATTAAAGAATAACATGTACCTACTTCAAAGTCATTAAAGAAATATTTTTTTATATAACAGATTATTTAATTTAATTATCATGGCTAACCTATCAATGGCTCTGGAAAAGAAAAAATCAAACCGTCGCTGCAAATTATCCATTGGAGATGAAGAAAATTTTGAACCTCCTATACAGTCGTCAACTCCATCTAAAATACCTAAAAGAAATTCAAAAAGAATTCTCAAGGATAATAATTCATTAAACATAAGTGTCATTAATAAACATTGCCAAAACAAAACAATAAATGAAGAAAATTATTGCCAAAATTACAAATATACACTACCTGTTGTAGAAGAAAATGTTAAGCATGGTCGAGTCGCAGAACTTTTTTACAGTGATCCAGAAGATGAACCTACTGAAACTGAAAATTTAACTGTCACTACTACAAATGATTCTGATGATAAATGGACCACATTTTCCGATATTTCAGAAGATAAAAGTTGTAATAATGTTAYAGATTTATTAGCTGAAATTGAAGCTGATGTAGAAGTTAGATTTAAAAAACCACCAAGAAGATCATATCCCGGAAGAAAAAGAAACAATATAAGTTTGTTTGAAGAGAAAGAAGAAGAAGAAATAGACTTACAAATTAAAAAAAAATGTAGAAAACATAAACCAAAGAAAAAAGATGATCCACAAGAAGAAGCATTTGTCCAATCAATGAATGAACATTTTGGAGATATAGAATCATTTAGTTTAGCAGTGGAATAGTATAAATTTACTAAATAATTGTCACAGATATTATAAAAATTAATAAATGTTTTGAAGAGGAACTTAATGGCACATTTTTTTACAATAAACATTAATTAGTTGCTTCTTATTGATTAAAGTTAATCTTAAACCTAATAAATAATTTAAGAAAGTTATAATATTGGTTTTAGTATAAATGTTTAGAAAAAAGTGTTCCGCATAAAACATTATATTATGTTAATAATAATAATTTACAATCAATTTTTTTGGATAATCTATAAATTAAGACTATGTATGMGATTATTTACTTCGTTTTCTGTTTCATTTATTCAATTAGTTTTGTTTAGTATCTCCTTCATTAAAATAACCATGTCTTTTTTATTATTATTGGTTTAATTTAAAATCTGTGAAGTGCCACAAATTACTGAAAACATTTACTGAATCTACTATGTTGTCTATATTGTAATATATTGATGTTAAGAATTGAAGTCTTGGGTGCCACAATCAGACATTTCTAATTTCTACGATTTTTCAGGAGGAAGTAAAAACTATTTTAAAAATTAACATAAAGTTAATTCTGATGTTTATAACTGAAACTATTAACTAACAATTAAACATTCAATTTCCGTAACTAAAATTAAAAAAGGAAAAAAAGTTAATTTTGATTGTCGCACCACAAAATTTAAAACTTAAAATTTATAAACTCAATGCAATTTTTGTAGAAAATTATTTGACTTATAAATTATATTGTTTGAAATTGTTTTTTTTTAATTTTATATTAATTATTATTTTAAAATATTATATTTTAAAAGTAAATATATTTTGATATTAGTTTATTTTATTGTATTTATTTCACTATTTTGATATAATGGCGCTATCGTGTGTTAAACATTATTTCTTAAAGATTTTCAAGAGACTTCTTTAGTGAATTTCTTATTCTAACCTACCATAAACTTACAGTTTCTTATTTTTGCTATTGAAAAGAATGTGAGCATACATAAAGAGTTAAAAGTCATTAATTGTGAATTTTTGCATAAAAATGATAAATGAAATATAGAGAGAAAAAATTCACAGTAGGTAAAAATAATAATGTAAAAAACTTATAAGCCCCAATTTAATTATGATTAACTAATAAGAACATGAATATTATTGTTATTATTAGTATAACAATTCTGTTTTTAAATTATATCAGTATTCAGTTTGGTTTTGGTTTGCACTATAGATAAAAGATTGTACCCTCTTGGTTTACACCATTATTGGATAAAATGTGATTGTTTTTGTGAATATTTGTGAATAATTACTATTTTTATAAGATGGCGTAAAAACGTTCGCACTATACATATAGTTTAAGAATTTATAACCTATTTAATTTCAAACTGTTGTTAATGTTATCATTTAAATGTAGTACATTTTAGAAAAAGGTATGTTAGGAGCAGAATGATACCAAAAAAGGTTGTTTTGGAACCAATATAAGTAGTTTAAAGCTGAACTGTTTATATTTAAAACCATTGCCAGTAAGACTTGAAAAGAAAAAGGATCTACTTTGACTATATGAAAAGAATGCAGCGCCAGATGTATTTCACATTTTTATAAAAGTTTGGTGAGCATATACGGAAATGGGGGGGGGGGCTTATCCCCCTAAAATGTTGTCATGTTTCATGTGAAATGTGATTTTATTTGAATATAGTTATTTTTTCAGTTAATTTAGCCCACCCAGAAATGTCTATGGATTTGCGACTATGTTGCTGACTAAACCTCTTAAAAAGTATTAAGTTCCAGAACTAGGAGAAGTATATAAAGATTGAAGATTTAGACTGATTTTTATTATTATATTATAGTTTATACAAAAGTTGTAATTTGTTTAAGGTCTTAAATCACATACAAAATTATTTTCTTTTTGTTATATTGATAAAATTTTATAAATTTTATTTCATTTTAAAAATAATACCTACCAAGTTTTAATTTAATTTTGGGTATTCATGTCGTATGTGGTCTACCGCCCGTTTCTACACGTCATATGCGGTCTACCGCACAGCATTTGTCGTCTACCATATGGTTAAAAATATGAATGATGGAATACATAAATGTAGAATTACTAATTACTATATATTTATTAATGTAGAATTTTCAATATAATACCTATTTAATAATACAAAAAAATATATAAAAATATGTAGGTAAATTTAATATGTATTAAAAACTAACTGATAAAAAATGTAAAATCATATAGAAATATGTTTTAATCAATATTTAAATTAGGTATAAGTACAATATAATTTCACCTCTCTAAAAAAACAATCAAATGTGTTGTCATTCTTGTTTTTTAGACGCCACCATTGTTCCATAGACCACATACGACATAAATACCTAATTTTGTATTATTATTTTGTACGTTAAGTGTGGTTGAACTTTTTTGATATCCCAAGTATGTCTATGATAGCATTGTAATAATATACTATTTTTATAATGGTATGTACAATATTTATTAAATTTAAATTGGTTGACAAAAAAAAATTATATGCATCGAAGAAATTATAAAAAAAAAAAAACAAGTAACTAGGTAACACTCTGCTGCACATGGGGTGTCTAAAGAGTTATTGTAATGGATGGATTGAATTTTAATTGAATAATCATTGTACATAAAAAATGATTCTGAGGAAAGAAGGTCCATCAGTCTATATAATTACTTAGTAAATTTTTTAATATTATTGAGTGATATTTTATTTATTTATTATTTGAAAATGTTATTGTATGTATACTAGCTGTCAATTGTCATACTGAATACCTAGGTACTCTTAAAGTCTCAAGTTGGTTTTTAGTGTTTTTACCCATTTATAATATTTTTAAATAAAATCAAAATAACTAAAATAGTTAATCTTGGTATTAATATGTAATTTTGTACAAATTTAAACTTAAAATGTCTGTTAAAAAAATAAGTTTTTAGATTTTGTATTAATGAGAAACATTGTTTTAAATTTTCAATTCTTAACAATAAACACTTAATTTTTTAACAAAATGATTTTAAAATTGTTGGATCATTATGTTTCTGGATATTTAATAGGTACTTATCAACTGATATTATAATAACATATAAGTAAACCTGTATAAATTTTTAAACTTTTTGATCCAACAAATAAAATTTAATCGTCATTTAAAGAATAGAAAACTAAACAAATTGAAAATGTCTATAATTTAGACAAAACGAGTCAACATATTATAAGAATAAATGAAAATTCAAAAACAAGAATTTAAATTTTTTTAAGTTAACTAATAATGTTATTAAAACAATATTCTCAACTCGTTATTCAGTTATTGCTACCTAATTTTTGTAAATAAATGTTATAATTTAATATTTATTTTGATATGTTGTTGCTTCTTTGCTTTATCTACCTTATCATCCTGCAAAATCTTACTATCAGCTAACAAAATATTGGATTACTACCATATCCAATTCAATGCCATATCCAACTCATTATTCTAGGTATCAAAAACATTATTTCTAGCTAGTCAATTTTCATTGTATTTTTGAATTTCATAATTATAAATATATCATTGTATAAGTATAAGGAATAATAATCAATTACAATATTTTATTTGAAATTGAAATTTTGTTGGTTGTACCATACATAAATTATAATTTTAGTCTCTTTTTCTTCTTAATTTCTGCATTTATGACTAATATTTTATGATATGTATATAAAATAAATGACAGTAAAGAGTTTCAAGATTTCTAAAATTTGATTTTGTACTCATAACAGTAAAATGTATTCGTAAAGTTTATAAGTCACAACTAAGAAGGTAACAATGTTAAGTATTATAAATGTTTATAACTAGTGCTTTACTATAAAAGGAACAATTGCAGTTTAGCTCCCCCTCACCATTTTGAATTTTTTTTATCGAAACTTATGTAACTCATCGAGTTAAGAACGATGGTGCAATCAGAATTGGTCGCTCTCACTTAGTTTCGAAGTTATGGCCTTCCAAAGTTTTCAATTTTACGTTTATACGCATGCGCGCAACACTACCATAATGCCGTGTGGGGGACCATTTTTGTTATTTTTTTGTACTTACGTATTCTAACCTATTAAAAACGATGGCGCAATAATAATTAATTAAAAATAATCAAGAATAATTACAGAATAAAGTTAATATCAATTAAATAATAATATATTTATTTAACACATAATATGTAATACATTCAAAAAATTACAACAATTCAACATTGTCTTCGCCATCAGTGTCTGAATCGGACTTTGTTGTTTCGTCATTATGTTGAGTTTCAAGCATTGCTGATGGGTCATACAAATTACTCTCTTTTTCAAATTACTTAATCTCCAAGTATAACCATCCATAGTAYGTGCATCAACGCATAGTTTTAAGTCATGCCCATTGGAACACATTAAAAAACCATCTCGGGGTATCAAATACCATAATTGTAAACGGTTGATGGCACTCAAAGAAACGTGGCCACTCGTTTTGTGGTCGAACATATCATATAAAGAAATAATATTTATATCAGTCATTTTAAAATAAAATTATACGAAAATCTATGTGCAAACGAAGTGACGACTAGACCAAAATAATGAAGCATTTAACGATTAATTTAGAAACAAAAATAAGAGATATTTATTTTATCGTAGTATTGGGTACGTTAATTAAAAACAAATTAAGCCAATGTATAGGTATTATTACTAATATGCATATAGCATATTAAATTATCTCTATGATTATAGAATAAGCTATATTAAGTTATTTTGCAATTACATAAATAAGTGTATATAGTAGCTCCCTTCGCCTACCGGCCAAACTCCGTAGGACCTCAAGTTGGATGAGGGCTCGGCCCCCAAACCCCCCGGGGCCGAAATAGCAAAACTGGGGGGAGGGGATGGGGTGGTCGACCCCTCCGGGGTCGCAGGGGGAAGAGCATACCTGCCCTGCGGGCAGACGGATGACCTAATAAGTAAACTTAACCTTGTTAGATATAGTAACACAAGTATAATATAGCTTCTATCGTCTATCGGCTCCGGTCACCAAACTCAAGGGACCTCCTTCAGCCTACCGGCACCGGTCAGTAGGCATGTTCTGTACAAAAATAATATCGATATATCATATTTCAATTTAACGATATCGATATTTTTAAACATTAATATCAATATTTTGATATTTGATAATTGATAAAAAAAAAATCGTATTTTTATAATTTTTTTTTTTACTATTTGTAACAAAAACATAATTTAAACTTAATAAGTATTAATTAAATAACCACTCGTAATAATTAAGATGTTTTATTGATACAGTCTCATTTTATAAAAACAAAATTAATATTAACAAATCATAATATATAGGTAAACAATTTTCTTTTTTATAACAACAACATAATATTATACTGTATTATAAAATTTATTTATTTAAATGTTCCAATATTTTTCATCCATTGATGATAAAAATGTWAATTGTTCAAATCGTTTAGAAAGTAAACGAGAACGACAGTCAGTTAATATATTACCAGCCGAAGAAAATAACCTTTCTGATGGTACAGATGAAGCCAGAATACATGAATACTTCAGTCCCAAATTTGAAAGACATTTGYAATGGGTATTTTCCCAAAATGTAACTGGTGAACTTGTACGATCTTCAATATTAGATTGAAGATATAATTTAATGGAAGATAAATATGTTGAGTCATCTGTAGTAGAAAGACATGCTGGGAAACTTGCAAATCATGGTCATCCCATAAACTTTCTTGGGTAACTTGTGGCCTGATGTTGGAAGTTAGTTCAGCTTCAGGTTGATTTGAATTATTAGGATGATTATTTGTACTTTTAATTTCGTCACATATAAAACCAACTGCATTAGCTGCATTTAATGGTCYTTCAAAATGAATACGTTTGAATCGAGGATCTAAAATTGTAGATACTGCTAGTAATCTAATTTTTTCTACATCATGAAAACGTTTATAAAATTCTATTTGGAGTTGATCTAATAAATATTTTGCTTCTTTAGTTGTGCATGTTATATTATATAATTTTTTATTCAACATAGCTTTTAATGGAATCACTTTACTTGCAGATAAATGCTTTTCTGTTGAAAATTCTTTAGTTGCAAGTTCAAATGGACAAAGAAGTTTTACTCCTTCTGTAAGAACTCTAATTTCATATTCGGATAGCATTAATGGTGCACCTGAAACTCTTAACAGAGTAGTACTAACAACTTCTATCAATTCTAAAAATCTTTGTAACATATAGAATARRGAATTCCATCGAGTTGGACATTCTTGTTTAAGCTTCAAACATGTACCTTCACTTTTACCTCCATTTAATTGTATGAGTCTTRGTATGTCAGAAGCTTTAACACTATGTTTAAAAAATGTGACTATTGAYTTAACTTTCTGTACAATTTTAGTAAATTCTTCTGAACTTGACAATGCACACTGTACTAAGAGATTTAATTTGTGTGCATAGCAAACTAAAGCTTTATCATGGCCAAATGTATCATTAATGCATTTAACAATATTACTTGCACCATCAGAAACAACTGCAACAATTTTATCCTTTGTTATTCCCCAACGTTGAATTACTTCTTCAAGATGTACACTTAAGTTTACAGCTGTATGTGCATCATCGAGTAATTTTATTTAATTGTCATGGTTATATATTATAACAATAGAATTATCAATTAATTACAAATTACAATAAATATTTTGGTTTTAATAAAATAAATTATAAGACTATTGAACTGACATGAAACTAATTAATATTAAGTGCAATGTTTACTTTATGATATACTGAAAAGTACTTACCGTTACCATAGGCTGTTGTTCTTGTGCTTACACTGCTAATTTTGATGGATGTTTCAACATCAAATGTTTTTTCATATTTGTTGTGTTTGTACCTTTTACAATTTTAAAACAAATATTACATTTATTCTAGTTAGTTTAGTTCTAGTAGTACAAAAAAATAACAAAAATGGTGGTCCTCCACGTGGCATTATAGTAGTGTTGCACACATACGTATAAACGTAAAATTGAAAACTTTGGAAGGCCATAACTTCGAAACTAAGTGAGAGCGATCAATTCTGATTGCACCACCGTTCTTAACTCGATGAGTTACATAAGTTTCGATAAAAAAAATTCAAAATGGCGAGGAGGAGCTAAACTGCAATTATGCCGTAAAAATTATTTGCATATTTTATTGGAAACTATATTTTTTTATTTTGATAAAAATAATTTGCAATCTATACAATACAGTTATTAGTACAGTAAGTAAATTTAATAGTCAATAATGATTAGTGACAGTATTTATTTATGAATTATAAAATTATTTATGGGCAAGTATTTAGCTACAGTGCCAACCGACCTGGTTATCATAAAATTATTAATAATATTAGAATAGACATATTTTATTTTAAACTTATTATTTATTATAATTTATTGTACCAGCAATTGTTATAATGACGTTTTTATAACATATAGAAAAATTGAGAAAGATTAAACAATTTATTTGAAAGCTGTTGTTTCTTCGGTAGCGGTGTACTGTACGTCTGCGCTCTAGATGTTTTATCAGGAGAATCGATGCTTAGGTAAGTTTGTTTCCATATATTTTTGAATCTACATTTTTGCGCAGCCATATTCTCTCGGTGAACTGAGTGGCAAAAAGTTAAATTTTAGCTGCTAAAATGTGATACAATTGACAATATTGAATACTACAGTAATGTACATATTTTGCCTATATTATACGCCGGGTAACACTAATTGTTTTCATGAAGTATTCAACGTATACTCAATAGTCATTACGCATGCTTAATTTTAAGTTTCTAAGAATAAGCTAAGAAATTTTATATCTCAACTGTGTCTGTCCGTTAGTTACCAGTATAGGTACATGATATGCTATTATATAGTTATAATCGTTAATATTAGGATAATTGCTTATTAATATACAATCATTAAATTATACCTAAATTAATAAATTGGTACTAGCCAAAATATACAATAAATATATATTACTATCAAAGTTATAAAGACATTAAGTTCAATTTAAATTGTATTTGTAATTATAGTTTATTGTATTGTATTAAGATACTTTTGGAAGCCAAGAATTTTGCATGCTCACAGATCATAAGCTACCCTATATCATTAACAAAAAAAAATTGTCCATCAAAACGTCAAATTGATATTTTATGATCGTTTTAATGTTCAAATTTTTTCAACATCGAATTCTAATCGAACAATTTTTTTATTTTCTTGTAAAATTTAAATACGATGTCCCGTAGATAATTTTTGTTCTATAAATGTTGAGAAATTTGTTTCCTTTAGGTCAAAAGACTTGGAAATGTATTACAAAGTTCCTCATACGTTGTACAATAGCAATTTAATATTATTAAAAATACATAGGTCATAGGTGTGATATTTTTTACAAGCATTTAAAGTTAAAATTTTGATAAAATGTATTAAAACCTTGAAATTGTAGAAATCTAATGTATAATTACTTTTAAAGTTTTAACAGTAATGCCATAAAAATGTACTATAATATTATTGGCTGATAGGCCGGATTCGCTCAGAATAGTTTTTCGTATCCAATGATTTTATACCACTGAATTTGCAAATTTAGCACACCAATTACAGTGGCTGTTGTAGATAGTAGACAGCAAATGTACAGCACATTGGTACTCACAAGGCCATAACTAACATGCACAGTTTTTAATATATAAAATAACAATAAGTGCCGGTCAATATAGAAGGGTAGTGKGTACTAAAATATAAATGTTACCTAATAATTATAAACTTAATATTTCTTACAATCATACGTAATCACTTGTATTRTTAAAATAATTAAACGAAAATATGCAATCTATTTTCTGTAAGATAATTAGGTATCACTTACAAATTATTTTTTATAAATAAACACCTATAATTTTATTTTACGTACCAATATTACGATATGATTATGAGTTAAGCATTATATTTTTATTATTTATTAATATAGGTATACAATATACATCTAAAAACTATATTAGGACAACTAGGACAAGTCTATTTCTATGGTTCGCTGCTTAGTGCTAAGTCTCTAAGACTAACTCGATAGATAATAATATTATATTGGGACATATAATTTTGTTAGGCATGTTTTTTATATTATACGATTACCGTATTGGTTCACCATTATATATAGACTATATATAATGGTATATATAATATATATATATATATATATATATATAGTTGTGTTTATAAATGTGCGTTCGATACCCGTATTTGGAATTCCTAGTTTTCAGTTTATTAATAGACGTATAACTGTCTATCTTGTATTATTGATGAATATTTATAAAATCTCAGAATTTAATTTTTTTTATACGATCGTTAACTTTACTACATATATAGTATATTATGGAGTACCATATGTCCATATAATCATAGGCGGATAGGCCACCGGGCAAGGGGCAACCGGACATTTCCCGGTGGGCCCCCTTCGTATTTCAGTAATCGGGCCCTTTCATATCATATATTATTAAATCTTTTTTCATGTGAGGGCCCCTTTTTAAAATTTCCCCCCTCTTGGCGACGTGCTTGATCGGGTAGCAATTATTGTGATGAACAGTGAGATTTCTTGTTTTTTTGAAAGGATCAAAATCCTTGTGCTTTTCTAACGAGTTCGATAAATATCATTACATATATATATATATATATATACAGTGAAACTTATAAATACCGGACAATCTCGGTCATTTAAATTCCGTCCGTTATTAGGACTATAAGAAGATGTCCGCTATTGAGAGATGTCCGTTGAAGGAGGTTTGACTGTTTATTATTATCAATATTATCATATCTAACATTTTATCTGATATTCTATATAATATTATATTTTATGAAAAATAACGGTCCACGTTATCAGCAAGTTATCACCTTCTGTAAAACAACGTTCTGTGATTATAATTTCAGGCTTTCAATTTCCTAGGATTAAAATTTTCTATTTTGTGTTCATTGTTTTCAAAACGTTAACATCCAGATTCCAGATATTAATTCATAATTGGTTTTTAGTAATTTTACATTCTGTAATTCTATTCTATTTTTTAAATTAAAATTGATTTATGCATTATTAACGTTCGGTACATTTATTTTCTCCAAAACTATTAATTAATCCTCAATGGATTCAGATTGAAGGTTATGTACGAGCGACATTAATGATGTTGTAAACGTATTCGGCTCTTAAAATGTAAGCATTGTAAGCTGATAAACATTATAAAACATTAAAACGGAAGAAAACGACTTTTGAAAAATAAAAGTTTGTTTACACTGTTTGACGTATATTATTCATTACTTTTTATTTTTATGAAATTATATAAATTTCGGATCTCATTTTTTGTATGTATAATTATTGACTCAATTGTAGATTTGAAACCGATAGTACGTAGGCCGTACGTTTTTTCTTCGAATTTTCTTATGATATGACGATCGAACAAGGTTGTTCGATGAACATATTAATTATTCTATGTGAATGAGGTAATTGCGTGTGTGCATATTATCATAATTTATTCGACATGTGTCTTATAGCGATGGCTTTAATGGTTTTAACGTTCGATTTTAGTCTATCGTATTCTTTTGATTTAGTCAACTGAACCCGCCACCATGTCCGAGAAAAAAGCCAAAAATAATGCTGATTGGAAGAAACGTGTAAAAGCAGAGTATTTCCGATTATTGCAGGCCAAAAAAACAAAGAAAGACGATGACAATGTATTAGCGTGCATGAATAATCAGAAGAAGCTCTATGGTACTTTTAAATAGAATGTTATTGTTTTATGATTTATGCCTTCATGTTTAATTTTTTTATTAAAGAAAAAAAAGCTGAAGAACTCAAACGATTGTTGTCGAGAAAAGCGATTTGGGAATGTCGTCCATTTGTAGAAACAGTATCAAGATCTAAACGGTCAGAAGTATCTAAGGTGGATGGTATTGGGGAAGAAACTATGAGCGTCCCGATAAAAATTATTAATGCTGTAGCACCTATACCTACTATGTACATCTGGGCACCAATTCAGCAAAATTTTATGGTAACAATTTAATAGACAATATATAGTAAAATATATTCAGATTATAATTTTATATATAAATGTTTTATAGGTGGACGATGAAACTGTACTTCATAATATTCCATACATGGGAGATGAAGTACTTGATCAAGATGGTTCTTTTATCGAGGAATTATTAAAAAATTATGATAATAAAGTTCATGACGATGATGCTGCCAACTTTTTAGACGATCAGGTGTTTGTTGACCTAGTCCATGCACTTATACCATTTCAGGTAAAATAAAAATAAAATCTGTTGTATTATTGAGATTCAATGTTTGTGAACTTGTTTAGCAAGAAGAAGATAAGGAACAACAAACTTTATTGACACCAAAAATGGTAAAAAGCAATAAAGATGATAGGCCATTTCCAAGTATGGCTATATTTGAAGCTATGTCAGCTGCATTTCCTGATAAAGGATCTCCTGAAGAATTCAAAGAAAAGTAAATATCATATTTTAATATTTGCGTTATTATTTCATGTAATTACATCTAAAACACGTCATTACAATACATTTGGGTGAATACAAAAAACAGAAATTATTCGCGAAAAATTAATTTTGTTTTTAGGTATATTGAATTAACATCTTGTGTTGATCCTAATGCACAACCATCTCAATGCACTCCTAACATTGATGGACCAAAGGCTGAGTCTGTACCTAAAGAGCAAACTATACATTCATTTTTAAATTTGTTTTGTAGAAGGTGTTACAAATATGATTGTTTTTTACACAGTATGCATATATTATTTTTGTTATAAATAACTCATATTTAATCATTAAAATCTTATTTGTTATGTTATAGAACTTAAAGAGCATGATTCAGGTACTAATTTGCCAATTGGCTTAAAAGGACCTTTATTAAAACCATTTTCGTCTCACTGTAGTCAAGATTGTTATATGTTACTTGTAAGATATTTAATTAAACATTAAGTTTACTTTAAATAGGATTTTAGATCATTTTTTTTTCAGGATGGAATGAAAGAAAAATTAGCCGCTATTGCTGAAATCAAAGCTGAAAAACAGAAGCAAGCGGATATAGATGAAGAAACTAATAGATCAGGATCTACTACGATTTCTAGTAATACGAAAGAGTTGTCACCTCAGATTGAAAATATTGAAAAACCAGTAGGTTCTACTAAGTTATCAAAAAAAGATAGCTCGGACTGGGGCAATGATGCTAGTTCTGAGGATAGCAGAGATAGTAGCAAAGGTAGTGTGTTTAGTTTATTAATGAATAATTAATCTTAAATTATAAATGCTATAATTGATGAAAATTCATTTATTTTTAAACAGATGGTGAACTAGACATGGAAGATCCATTGACAACAAAAACATCCTTCTCTTTACTTCCACGTATGAGTACAGAAGATAAGCAAGTGTGGACTGGATCAGACCAATCAATTTTCCGTGCACTTCGTCGCACATTCCTAAATAACTATTGTGTCATTGCTCAGATGATGTTAACAAAAAGTTGTCAGCAGGTTTATGAGTTTGCACAAAATGAAAATGATGATGTTACTGTTGAAGAAGCTATTAGTGAACTTACTCCACCTAGAAAGAAAAAGAAAAAGTTACGTTTATGGCAAACACATTGTCGAAAAGTACAACTAAAGAGAGATTCTGCGTCAAATCATTTATATAACTATACACCATGTTCTCATCCACCAAATCAAGGTTGTGATGCAACGTGTCCTTGTGTTATGGCACAGAATTTCTGTGAAAAATTCTGCAAGTGCAGTTCAGATTGTGAGTGTTCTAAGATTTCTTATATTATTAGGTTGTGTTTTTTATGTAAGTACTTCTTGTATGTTAGGTCAAAATCGATTTCCTGGTTGTCGGTGTCGTGCTCAGTGCAACACAAAACAATGTCCTTGTTATTTAGCTGTTCGCGAATGTGATCCAGATTTATGTCTGACTTGTGGTGCTGATCAGTTTAATTTAGATAATATAACATGTAAAAATGTCAGCGTTCAAAGAGGCCTTCGTAAGTTTAGGAAAAAATAAAATGTGTTGAAAGTGTTAGAACTTATAATAATCATTTGTGTTATATTTTAGGTAAACACTTATTAATGGCACCTTCGGATGTTGCTGGTTGGGGTATATTTTTGAAAGATTCTGCACAAAAAAATGAATTTATATCTGAATATTGTGGAGAAATTATTACTCAAGATGAAGCTGATCGACGTGGGAAAGTTTATGATAAATACATGTGTAGCTTTTTATTCAATTTAAACCATGGTTTGTATTGATCATTAAGTCATTAATTTTTTTTTAAATTTAATTTAATATCATATAAATTGAGTATTGTTATTGTTTATGATAGATTTTGTTGTTGATGCTACACGAAAAGGCAATAAAATAAGATTTGCCAATCATTCTATTAATCCAAATTGTTATGCTAAGGTTATGATGGTAAATGGTGACCATCGAATTGGTATATTTGCTAAACGTCCTATACAACCGGGTGAAGAATTATTTTTTGACTACAGGTTACTTTTTTTATTTTTACTTATCATTAATCTCTAATACATTGAGTTATTAATGTTCTCATTATTATTATCATGTTTTTAGATATGGACCAACTGAGCAACTTAAGTTTGTTGGAATTGAAAGAGAAATGGAATTTTTACCTTAGTGTTCTATGACAAGATTTTCATTAAATTTACCTGTAACAATCTCTTGGCATGTATGTTAAAAAATGTACAAACTATTTACAGTTTTTAGTACTATCCTAAATGATAACCTTAGGATTACTTATAATACTTGCATATGATTAAAAGTATACTACTATAATTTGATTAAACTTTACTTATCAATTTAGGTAAAATAAAAATTACTAAAATAAATTCAGATAGATTAAAATACTTTATTCAGACACATATGTAAGCTAAATTTAAATAGCTTGTTTGAAACATCAGTTTTAAAAATTAATTTTATTTATGTATGTATTAGTTAATTAGATAAAAAATGCAATATTTGCATCAGTGAAAATTAATTCAACTGTAGATTCTTCAAGTTCTCTTGCTGTTAAATATTTTTAGATAACACTGTAATAATATGATAATTTTAAGTTATATAACTGTTCTAATGTTGGTTTTAATTTTTCAATAAGTTTTAAAAAAGTTGTTCTTGGTATAATTTTTCAAAAAGTTATAATCATCTATCATCGTCAATTATAATATGAAATAATCAAACATAAGTCTATGCAATTTTTCTTAATATCCTTTTAAACAAGAAGTTTTATCTGTGTAACATATTTGATTCATTTATATTTATGTTTGTTAAAAAAATCCTATAATCTGTATACTATATTTAAATTTTGAATATAGTAAGAAAACAGTGGCATATTTATTGGTTGCGAGTAAGATACATTTTTAAATTGATACATTTATATTTATATCTTAAAGTATTAATCTATCATAATAATAAGATAAATATTTTAACTTTAATTATATCTTAACATAAATCTGCAAATGCTTTATAAATCTTTAATATGTCTCTGAAAGAAACATTAGAAACTATTGACAATCTAGTCCCTTTAACAATTACTTTTGTTAAAAATTAAAACTTGGCACTTAATATATTTAACTGATTAAGTAATGGTAATAGTAGTTGTAGTAGTAGTAATAATTTAGTGTTATTGTTATAAATATATGTTCATTAATTATGTTTTTGCAATGTGTAGCAAAACCTGATCTATTAATTGTATTAAGTTGAGAAAAAAAAAACATTTTAATTATTTGCTATTATACATTTTTTTTCATATTTTTATTTCTTCTATAGACAATGTGGAACTAATTTTACTTTTTACAATCAAATGTGGTTACAAATTATTATTGAAAATGTTATTTAACAAGTATTAAATAAAAGCTTAGTTAAAACTTTATTAACATTTAAAGTTCAAGGAGTCGTTTTTGTGCATTACAATAACACAGGATATAATATTATTTCACTTCCTTTCCAATAACCTTCACATATTTGATACTTTATATTTGGTTAATATTACTTATAAACATTGTACATTTTAAATGCAAGTTTTTTCTTTTCATGCAAATTAAAAAAAAAAAAACTAGAAAATTAAATGTCCACTGTTTAGATAAAGCAGGTTTATATTTTTATGCGCAGATGTCATAACTTTATAGTACCTAATTGAAATACTCTACTAATAACACATTTTTACATTTATCAATAAAAAATTATATGTATTATAGCTTGTTTTTTGTGGTTTGTTACGAGTATAGATAATTATACCTTATATGCTGATGTAAGGAAGAAACTACAAACTAGTGATTTKATAAGTTATAGTATTATCTGCAATAGAAATATCATACTGTATTTCAATTATTATAATAATAAATCTTATTCGTAAGATTAATTTTTGTAATATTATTTAATTTTATGCACTTTTATTATTCTTGGTGATGATAAAATATTGTTAATGCAACAATTTAAAAAAAATGTGTCATATTTTATATTGGATTTTTATATACATTTTTTAAATGATAACCTATCCTATAGTGGTGATGAGAAAAATCCATCTGACTTAGTATACACATTATCTGTTTACTATCTGATAATATTAGAACTAAGCTGATAATTTAAGTGTTAGAGATAGGAATAGGAATGTTAAAATATAAAATACTATATACGTCGATCAATTGATTAATTCATAGGATATCACATTGACAGCCACGAAAAAAAGTGCTGCTATAGCATTTGTGACACTACTGCTACAGTAGTGTTTTTTTTAATGGTACCATATGAAATAGCAACTTGTACAGTACAAGTTACCTAACCAAAAAATCAGTGGCTTTAAAACGATCTATTATTGATGCGTTCAACCGAATCAGCTCATACGCAGGTATGTTAATTATTACTTATTATCATATTATTTTCAATTTGTACTGATATTCAGATTTACTAATTGACTAGTATTTAAAAGGTATTATTTTTATTTTTATGAAAACAACTAAAAAAATTGTCCCAAATGCTAAACCATAATAATATTTAATATATATAATCAATCAACTCATACTTGAAATGTATAATTAAAATACACCTACTGGGTTAGGTTAGGTTAGGTTACCCTAGGTTAACCAAACCCTATGTATAGTGTATTATAATTTCCGGGCCAGACCCCCTGGACCCCCTCCCCCACCGTAAATCCACCACTGAGTATATGTTAATGTTATAAAGTTTGATAATGTTTGATTCATCTCAGAGTTGGGTATATTTTACCCGACAACGAAGTGAGCTACCTAGTCAGTATTTTTATTTAATAAGAATTTAATTTTTTTACAAATGTATTTAAAAAAATGATTAAATGCCAAAATAATTATAGGCACAGTCAACGATGGCTAGTATTATTAATTATACAATATAAATTATACTTATTACAATATGGTACCTATATCAGAGACGGATTTACACAATTGCCGCCCCTAGACAAATTTTTTTTTGCCACCCCATTACGACTTAGTAAAAAAACAAAATAACGAAATATGTAATCTATGGTTAGTATTTAGATAATAGATAATATACGTTCCGGTAGTCGTTCGATTATTTACTTGAAAGTGCACGCTTGTACAATCTTGGTGCACATTGCGTGTCGCAGTGCACATAAAAATAGGGCCTGAAATTATTATTAAATATTAATAGGTATAGGAATAGGTATATATAATATATATATAGGTATAAAGTAAAGTATATGTTTTTTCTTCAAGTCAATATTTACTGTGAACATATACATACAGATTATAAATACTCAATACTGTAACTCATATAATACTTGGTTATCTATATGTATTCAAGGTGTAACAGAAACCTGATAAACGATGATAAATAGAGTAAATAGTAACTTTTGTTCTAATCTATATTTATAATGATTTTTGTATAGAGTTTATAGGTGATAGGTCGTCTATCCGCTATCCGCTTTATAAAATATATGGTATACATTTTTTTAATTTAAAGTTGAATTCTGAAAATAAAAATTATCAATTCATCCATTTTTTTTTTTAAATTAAAAATAGAAAACTTGTGAATAAAATTAAAAAAAATTTAATTTTAAAAACGTTTATTTAAGACAAGTAGGTAGTTTTTTTTTAACATACATATTTTTAATTAATTTGAATTTTATTAACTTTTTTCAAAATGTTAGTATTGGAAATATTATAAGATATAAAAGTAAGTAAATATCAAATCATCCATATAATTTTCATATTTATTTTTGTTATGTTTAACTTCTATCAGTTTGTTAATTTTCATTTGTTAAAACTTGTATAGGTACTAATACCAATTAGAGAAGTAAAAAAAGTCAATCGGCAAATAATAATAAATGTAGCCGCTCATCATGACTTATTATGTTCAAGACAGCCTGTCCGCAGAGGAAGCGTATACGCGTGCCACATATACACTGCGTTACATTGGTACGCTTGACGAACCGTAGCAATGTACGTACGACAATAACAGGTGCAGACCGACGACGAAATGGACTTTGTGGACGGAACGCGAGACTCGGTTGGCGCCCGACGACCAGAACGGATAGTAAAAATCTTCGGGCAGCCTGAACTCGTACGTGGGTGGTTCGGCGAACGTCCTGACGGGTGGCCGGGTCAGGTCCACGAACACCACGGTGACTCTCACCGGCACTTCAACGGCCACTGAACGATCTCTACCGCTAACGGTGACGGCCGAGGCTGTGTAATTGGTCAGCACCCCTAGCAATGTGGCCCGCGGATCGTCAAACGGGCCCACGTGCGAGTAATACACCTGTATGTGCAGGCTGTCAATCACGGCCGGACACGAGTCTTCAGGCAGCGGTGACTGCTGTGCGGGGGGCGGTTTGGCTACCACAAACGGTATCCACCTGGTAACGTCCGGGTCGCCGAGACTGGAAACCAAGGCGCCTTCGTAATCTCCGAGCAATGCCATCGTCTGTAACATGATATCGCGGTGAGTACAAAATAATAATATGTTTGTGTGTGATAAGAAGATGCCAGCGCACCATTTGTTGTTTAAAAACTCAATCACAACATGGCAAATTTGCGTTTAGCAGAGCCAATATCGTCTGTACGTCGTTATAGCTTTAGTATTAGAATTAATTAGCCTATTAACAAACTTTAAAGATATTATATTATGTGATCTTAACATAGGACTTAAATCAATGTGTATAGGAGTAATGAGAGCACTTAAAGGAGTATGCAAAATAATAATATTTAAAAATGTTCATATTCTGCTTTAAAATCTACATATTGTAAAGAATCCAACATATGTATGAACACAGTTAACGTTCTTAAATAAAAGTCTTTTAATAGATAAATTCACCCTAATGGCTAATAGGTACTAAACAACACAACATATTAGTTTTGCTGAATGCAAATTTTTAATGTGACAAGTGGATCAAAGAGAAAAAACAAATAAATAACGCGCTAACAATTTAATGTGATACCTATTCATAATAAGATGGATTTTATGCTTCAATACTACGGTTAAAAATATTCGAAAATTGGTCTACCTATTTCAAAACTATGTTATTCTCTCTCTCTCTCTCTCTATGTATATATATATATATATAAAATATAATATACTATAGATATACTATACTATTCATTTTGAGGCTATTTTAAATTAATATTGTACTCTCCAAAATTATATATTAAATTAGGAATTATTATTGTTCTACGTTGCAACTTGTAATTTGTAAGTTTTGGTTTACTTTCAATCAACCATACATGCATGGTGGTGCTTGATACCTAATTTAAGTTGAATTAGCTACCAAAAATCATGTGTGAACGACAAAACAACTATACCAGGAGTTCGAACTTTTAGATATCTGGCCTTCTTGCATTACTAAAATTATAAATTTATAATATAGGCACATAGGTATACATCATTGTGTATCTATATTTTTAGATAAACGACGAATTTATTAAACTTTCTTCGACGTAATCTAACTACACTGGCACATTTGCACACTTTAGGTTCCTAATTTTTGATTTTTGTTTTAAAGATGAAGATTATTTTTTGATTCTATATATTTTATAGTTTTCGATCTTATTAAAGTTCATATTAAACTATATAACGATCACGAAAATCTGTAAATTCACTACCTATAGCCTATAGTACATATCCGACACACCCAATAAAGTTGCTGATGTTGCTGCAGTAGGCCTCGGGATACACCAGACTACGAGTTTACAAGTTATATTAATGATAACAAGATAATTTATAAAGTAAACAATAAATAAAATAAAATTTTATATCATACTTCGTTTTGAATGTCATTACAAATGTCTGCGAATGAGACGCCACCACTGGGTGGGAAATGATCTTCAGCTCTCTTGGACAACTGCATATTTCGGCGTGGAACCCGGACGCGACACTGGATGTCGACGCTTTCTAGGAAGTTAACGGTCTGCCGAGATTTGATAGAGTAAACGCATGCACCAGACCCGTCTGGTTCCGGTAGGAGCATTGTTATCGGGTGTCTGAGTTTCTTTACGTCTTTTTCGGTCATTGTTACCAGCAACGGACTCCCGGTAACGTAGCCGGGCTTACCACTGCGCTCGTATGACTCTACTGCTGATTTGACGGTGGCCCAGGCAAACCGAACACTGAATCTCTGACTAAGGTAAAAGGGACGACCGACTTCCGGCACGTCACGGTGATAGAAATGTACATCCACCCGGCGGACACCCCTAGACCCGTTGTGCGTCACCAAGTATTCGATTCTGTCGACGGCTCTACGACAAACACCACCCAAGTAAACGGGATCGTAATGCGAATGATTTTCGTAGCCACTGGTACCGACACCGACTTTCCCAATCTGACAATCGTACGACGATCCGTTCACCGACACGCAATGGTGGTGCGCCGTCGATTGGATGGTGGCCAAACCAATTTTCTGAAAATGTCAAGTCTTACATTTATCATTTATTCAGAGACGTATTTAGGAATTTTGTGCCCCAGGTAAGAAAAAAAACGCGCCCTTCCCACCTGAATTTCTTTACCAATAATTGTATTGTAACCTAACCTGTAAAAAAAAAAAAAACATGATAGTGAAAACAATACATTTTTTGCAACACTCATAATCTGAAAGATTTACACAGTCACAATACTATACTAGGTAATAGGTATACTTAAAACATACATTTATTGAATCACATATTACATAATTATAATAGGTACTTATATTTATTATTATTTATACGAAAAAAAAAAACACGGTGTAATAATAGGTTAAGTGTGCATTAAATATTATTGAATATAGACTTGAAAATTTTTCAAATTTCATGATCTTATATCATATGAAATATGCTTATATCATAGAATCAAGTTAATATAAACTAAAATATTATACATATTGTGGGGGGCCGGGTGGGGGGGGGGGTTAATTCAATAAAATAATCATATAGAGCCATTTTGTTGAAGTTTCATGTTTTTGTAATCTGATTGAGAAATAATTATAATTTTAATTAAACAATGCATTTTACTATGTTAGTATTAAATCTAGTTTATTATTTATATTTGCATAGTTTGTAAAAATAGTTCTCAAATTTGGGTATAATTTAATAATAATTTAATTAATAAGGTAAAATACTCATAACTATAGTCTATAATAATTGTAAAAATAGTTCTCAAATTTGGGTATAATTTATTAATAATTTAATTAATAAGGCATAATACTCATAACTATAGTCTATAATATGGCAAATAAACATATAATTTAAAATGTTTTATGTATACATATAAACACTGTACAGCTGTACACAATTAAAACAAAATGTAACATTTAATACCATATATTATATCAAAATGCTCTTAAAAATTTACTGTCTGGGACCCAAGTCCCCCTTGGCCACTTTAAATACGTCATTGCATTTAGCATTAATCTCAGTAATAAAACTGACAGAGTTATTAAAAATTTGCAATGGTATACCTACTACGATAAAATAATTTGTACGTTTTTAATAATGATAGGCAACGATGATAAAATTTCGTATATTGATATAAAAAATTGGTCACGATATTGATATCGTATCGTATTATCGATATTGTTGCCCATCACTAATTTTTAATACCTAAACTTTGAGATCATTCTTTTAAATACTCTACAAACCGATTAGATAGTGAGTACTTCCTATGAAATTAACTTGCAATTAACATAATATGTATAATATTCACCTCAGTCTTGTGGGCGCTGTTGTAAATGGGTTGCACTACTTTGAATAGCCCTCTCTCTCCGTAATAGAATTTAAAGCTCAATGATGAGTGATTGTTGCAAACGTCTGTCAGATTAGGCACAAACGTCTTGCAGTTTGTTTCCTTCGACTTCAAGTATTCGACGGGTTGTTCGATGCTACACAGCGAATCAAGAGCACTGTTTTTTAAACCTGATGAAAGAAAAATCGTATTAACGTTATAAGTTCACCATACGACGTGAAGTTGGAAGTTTCGTCGCATACGCTAAGAACTGACCAAATGTTTTGATTTCAGAAGAATTTACGTCAGAAACGACACTAAACATCCATCGCAAAGACTTGTAAGTAAGGTCATAGTTGTTGTATGTGAAGGATTCCACTGAAAGCGTAGAAGTGAGAGGATAATGATGTCTGCTGATGGCCTTTTCATTGCGCCAAGTAAATATGTCCCGTTTCCGAAGAGAAGTTGCTATTTGCGTTTCGGATTCGATTGTCTGTAAAACAAGTTACCAAACCAAACAGCTTTATGACATATTTATTAGATACTTATATTATATAAGTAATATAAGTATATGTAATTACGTCTCGTTCCGGATAGAAATAATCCGATGGTACGTTTTCGATCACCACATAAAACAATGACGAATCGAACAATATTGATTCTTGCTTTATCAAAGTAGATTTGGCTTGATCAGGACACAATGTGAAAGTCTTCAAATCGTGATTAGTGCAATCTGTGTCGCAACAACAGTTTATGTCACAACTGCCGTACTATTAACAAAAAGTATATATATAATATAATTTCCACAAATTTAATGGATTCTAAAAAAAAATTACACCAAGAAGATGATATATCGGATAGTTTGACAGATAAAGCGCCTATTATTTAGTTTTTTACAGTGATATATAAATAAAAAAAACGATTAAGCTCTTACGATTAGATCACAGTGGCAGTATTTAAATGGAACGAAACGAACGACTTCGACTTCGTTTTCAGGCAAGTATTTCGGCGGCGAGGCACTAGTAAATTCCGTGGTGGTGGTGATGGTGGTGGTTGTGGTATTGGTGGCGTTTGTCACCGGCAAATTCGTTTCAATTATCGTGAAGTTAGCTTTTCCTAAGGGAGGTTTAATGACGACGGTAACGTTCGAACTTCCAGAAGTAGCGTTTCTGGAACCGTTTGTCTTGTCACCGCCAAGTGGAGTGATGATTTTGTTATTAACCTGTACTACCACGTCTTTGAGCGTCGATCCTTTGGAATCGTTTCCGGAGACGTCGTAACGAACTGTTTGTGGGCTACTACCTTCGACAGTGGTCGTTTTGAGCACCTTTTTTGGCGTCGTCATCGTTGTCATTGCCGTAGCTGTAACCACCGTTGGCTGCACCGAGCACGTTTCGTTGGCTACGCAGTCTTTGATGGCTGGCGTCTCGGCGTACGTGCAGTTGACTGACAACAAAGTCACGGCCGTGATAAAAACCGTAAGTTTACTTCTGATCATTGTTTATAGTTCCACTCCGTAACGTCGAAAGTTCCGGGCGATCACGTTCAACCGGAAGCGCACCTTTCCCAGAGACTCGGTGTGCAACCGGTACCGGTCCGTCCCACAATATACAAAATCCGGCGATTTCAGTTGGGCGCCACCGCCGAGAAAGAACCGGCGAAACTCGTCTCTGAAATTACCTTAAAAATGGTTCTTCGAATTATTATTTAATATCCATGAATAATATTGATCTCAACATTTATATATAAAAATTTATTCTGTGAAGTGTATCAGGGAAATCATAAACCAGGTTTAAAAACATAAAAATGATAATATAATATAGGCTGATTTAATTTAGGTATAAATAAGAGCCAGTAATATCTTAACAGTTCTTTTTTTTAATTTAAAATATAAATAGTAATATTAAGTATATTACTATATTTCTTAAAATGTTTGTTTAAATAAAGTTCTAAATCATATAAACATTATACAGTTTCAAAAATGGATATGATACCGAAGTAAAACCTAATTTAAATTATGATTGAATCCTAAACTATAGAATTAACTTATTAGATTCAAGAATCTGGAAAAACATATTCCGGAGTCAGATATCTAATTGATCCAGGTAAAAATCACAAAATTAGTCTGCTAGCAATTAATTAGTACTAATTGCTTGTATAAAGTTTCCATAGACCATAAGGGTTGGTTATTGTTTTAAGGTCTTAATACCGGAATGTAGTAACCCATTCATGTTATAAGATGTAATTATTATCTGAAACTCATAATACTATGTTTCTGTGTACATTATAATATATAACTTTTTCATAAACTGACCGATTGGCCGCCAAGTGTGGCAATCTACTGTATGCGTTCCCGGTGTGGTCGGTACGTAACAAAATCCGTACCCGTAAATCTCGCTACGTCCGTAACTGTCGTAGTGATATACTTGAACGTGAAATTTAGGCCAACCTAGGAACAGAATATAACCTTAAAATTCGTATAGGTATTAACTAACCTTATCGTATAACTATTGTTTTTAACTCATTACAATAAAAATAACAATTACAGGAAAAATGTAAAATATGCTTGCATATTATAATTTATGTACTTACCTTGTATGCCTTTAGATGCGAAGTGAATGTCAATCGGGTGACACCACCAGGTTCGGTTATCGTAATAAGGCGAGTCCACTTGGGTTTGTCCTTCTTTGTGACCAGATATAATTTTCCAGTTATTACCTGCAGAGTATCGAGTGAGTATATTATGTTTAGATATAGAAAACGACATTATACATTAAATTGACAATATTAACGTAAGATAAATTAATATTAAAAGATAGAAATTGAACGTTATAGTTATACACTACGCTTATCTTTGCAAAAGTTTCTAAAATTGTATTATTTTTTAAATTTAATAAACAGATAATGAATTAATAAATATATCATAATCAAAATAATCATCCTCGCTACTTCAGCTAAGATCTTAAAAAAAAAATCCACAATTGGAATATATTTAATAGAGACCCAATTACAAATAATAATTATGACAAAACAGTTATATTATTATATAATATAACAGTTTCAATACATTATTATTATGTATATAAAAAATTAAAGATCTCACCAGCGTGGACGCTCCACTTGCAAAATAAACTCTTGGATGGAAATTCCTCGGCGTTACAAAGTTGTCCAATGATGAAAAGCTCAGCCATAACGACGCGTACGCGATCCGCGACCTGATGCCAACTCCACTGAGTTCATTACGATGCGCACATGGTGTTTTCCTCTAACTGGTTTTCGGCAAAGCCGTTGCAGAAAAATCGAAATCTAACAGTAATCTTGTTTTTATTAAATAAACTTTAAAAACATATAGGTGTATCCATCTATAGTAGAAAATTGTTGTACATCCATTATTTAACCCACTATACCACTGCCAGTTCCGCGCTACCGCGTTTATATCACTCAAACACTATATATTATAATATATGTACTGTGTTACGTATAATATTTTTTCGTAAACATACCAGTAAAAATCGCTTGTCACGGTGACCAGTTTTTTATAAATAATAATATATCTCGTGACTTATACTGTTGTTGTTGAACGAATACTCGTTGCCAAGCGACGACTTAACCACGAGTCACGACCCTTATTCGTATATTCATGATACGAAATGCATTATTAACACAACTATAGAGATAAAATGTACATAGCAATACCCATAAGCTGGAGAATGAAGTCTAATCTGATTTTTAAGCAAAAAAAAAAAAAAATATATATCAAGTGTTTTAAGTTCATTATTTAATAATTCAATGCAGGTCACCATGTGGGATAGATGGTAAGAATTTAAAAGAGTACCTATATGTATAAAAAAAATGAGATGCGAACATGGGTGCCCGCTGTCAAATGTATTTAAAAAAAAAATTAATTAACATAATAAAAAGTAGGTATCAAAATTACCAATGAATTTGTATATATACGGTAGACATCAAATAAAAATAAAAAAGGGATGTTAGGGATATTCGGAGGTAAATCAATTTTAATTAACTTCAAAACTATAGCTGATTCTTCGCTACACAAAAAAACATAAAATAATATATTTTTGGTGGGCACTATGTTCTAATATAATAACTAATAAGTAATTCCTATAATAACTTATAATGTTGGTAGTTTTAAAATGTCTAACATGTTTGTCACATAATTCAAAATCAGTTATTGAAACTATTTTTTGTTTATTAACAATAATTTTTGGTTGCAAATTTGCAATTTACATTTTGAACTTACATGTTATGCAAAATAGACTACCTACGCAAAATGGTTAAGAAAATAATCAATGCTTTCCGATTACATAAAAACGATTTACTTAAATATCGGCAATTGACAATTGGTTGCCATAGCGATTGTAATGTTAAATAATTTTAAATATTATATTTAAATTTTATATTAATGCTTAAATGTTTTCGAGTGGATTCAAAATTTTTTTTCTGACTTGCTCCAAATATTATTAGCCAATTTTGTCATTACCCATTTACCCACCACCCCTTAAAAAACTCAGATGGTGCTGGTGCTTTACTTATTGCCAGGCCAATAAGTTATTGGTGGTTGCCTACAAATTACTTCTTAGCCAAACCACTAACGTATTGTAACCTTCCATCTCTTACCTATTATCTTACACTTTCAAACACTGAATCTTAGGCCATCTCATACATCATAATATACTTTGTGTTATTTGTACTTAATTTACCTTAGTCTCTCACACAGGTCACATCGTAGGTACTTGGTAATCGAAGAAAATTTTTGAAAATCACAAAGGGAATATTAGACGTGACCAATTTTTTAATTTTGTATTATGATTTCTATGACTATTTTTCTTATACCATAAACAGTTATAACAAAAATAGTTATAATATAAAAACCTATACTGCCTATAGGCTATACGAGTATGTATCTACATGCCTAATAAAATAATAATACAATACACTATAACTAGATACAAATTAACATATATAATTAAAAGGAAAAAAATTGTGGTAGACTTGTTGACTACAAAAATATAAAATAATGTAAATACAAGTATCTTTATAAAATGATTTTTTTTCGAACTTTGAAACATGTAGGTACCTACTTAAGCACCTATATACTCAGGGCCGGCGCAAGAAATTTTTGCGCCCTGGGCGAAACCATGTTTTGGCGCCCTTAACACCCCCTTCCCCCCCGCCAAGACTAGTTTGAGTAGTATTAAAATTAAGTTTTTTAGTAAGTTAAATAAAATTAGCATGTATTTTGTATCATAACAATATTGTAATAAGGTTAGACATATTATTTTATTAACTTATAAAATTGTACAACGAAAATAATATTAAATTTATAATATCATATTTATAGATACTCCGAAAAACGTGTTAAGTTAATAATACTAATTTTCGTAATAATAAATATGCGAATGTGCGATTCACCACGTTATATCGACCGTTGCGAATATTGTGAATATTGTGTTTCTGGTTTCACTAACTACTTATTAATTAAAACGGAATTTATTTTAAAAAAGAAACCAAAATACTATGTACAAATTTACTAAACAAAATATATGATCATATGAATATTGATTGTGGTTGGCGCCCACAGA